GAGTAAGTGGAAATGCAGGAGAGAAGACATTGCAGCTCAAGGAAGTCACATACATGAACAAGGCTATAAAGTAATGAAAAGACTGGATTAATGAGCTTGAACTTTATTTTAAGAGAGAAGAGCCAATACTGAAGGCCCCTTTATTCTCTTAGTCAATAGATCTTATTGAGTACTTAGCATTATTTACCTTTCTAGGTGCTAGCAGGAAAACTGTGAACAGTTCAAACCAAAACCAAAAAAATCTTTGACCCAATGGAGCTGCTGTTCTAATTAGGAGAAATGGGCAATAAATTGAAAAGTTAATTCTATATGGTTATTTAGAAAGTTGTATGTACTGCAGAGAAAACTAAAGCCTTAAAGGGGTGCTCGGAGTGCCAGACCTGAAGGTCCTGATGGCAATTTTGAATCGAGTGGCTGTAGTCAGTCCCACTGAGAAGGTAGCAAGTGAGCAAGGAAGATGAGGAGCTGAGCTACATAGATACCTGGAAGAAGAGCCTTCTGGGCCGAGAAACGGCCCAAGCAAAGGCCTTGTTGTGGAACTTGTGCCTGGCAAATTTGAAGAAAAGCAAGCAGGCAATCATTGGCATGGCATATAGGGGCCTGGGGAGTTCCATGATATGGGGGAGACTTCATGGGCCAGGTCAGGTACAAAGTTGTAAGGACTTTGGCTTTTACTGTGAGTGAGATGGGCAGTTGTTAGAGGGATCTGAGCAAAGGCGTGACATGATCTGGCTGCTGGGAGGGGAGTGAACTGCACGTGGCCAGGAGAGGAAGCAGAGAAGCCTGCTGTGTGGCTGTGGGAATGAGCAGAGAGGTGGCAGTGAAGGGGAGAAATGGCGAGACCTTTGAGCTACATTGAAGGTAGAGCCAGTAGGATTTGCTGGCAGATTGGCTACGGGGTGCAGGAGGGAGAGAGGGGTCAAGGATGCTGAGGAGAAGACGGTGGGTAGAACAGATTCAGGTAGCGGTTGGGGGGAAATGAGGAGTTCAGTCTTAGGTGTGTGAAGCTTTAAATATATATTAGACCTCCCAGTGGAGGTGTTGAACAGGCAGTGGGTATGCATCAAGATTTCCAGGAAAAGGTCTGGGCTGGAAACAAGAATATAGGATTCATCAGTGTACAGATGAGCTTGAAGGCCATGGGACCGGAGGAGCTCACCCAGAGAGTGAGAGCAGATGGAGGAAAACGTCCAAGAACCAGGCCTTCCACATCAAGTTGAAAAGGAAGAACCAGCCAATGAAATTGAGAACAAGTGGCCAGGGAGGTAGGTAGGAAGAAAACCAGGAGAGTCATATCCTGGAACCAGGGAAGAAAGTATTTCAAGGGGATTGTTCATATTGATGCTGCCGATGGTCAAGTAGATGAGGACTGAGAAATGACGGTGATGTTCAGCAATACAGGCCCTGTGGACTCTTTGGACGACTTCACCATCAGATGAGTTCCTCCTGTCTACTGGGCACCTAGCTAGGCCCTCAGACATATAGTATAGATAAGTCAGGCAAAGCTCTTGCCTTTGTGGGACTTACCAGCCGATGAGAAATGAGTGATGTTCTAAAGAGTTCTGTTTAATATTGGTCATGGTTCTGTAATTTGAGACCTACAGCAAGTCAATTGTATAAAAGAATGTGTTTGCTTTTGTTGTTCATTGTTTTCCACTTGTTTTTATGGGCAAAATAATCTAACTTATGCATTTAAGTTATCTGAGAAATCTGAGTTTTCTCTTCAAGTTTCTTTTTTCTGTTTTCCAGCCAGCTTTG